ATTTATAAATTATATTTTGCACCTTTTAATGAAATTAAATAACTGATCCAACGTGCAACTCTCGGATAATAAAGTGTGACATTACTATGATTGACCCACGATAGTTCATGCCATAATATGGAAAATCTACCAGTAAAGAATTCTCTTATTGCTATACTTTGTACAAAAATGCAGAACCTTAAAATTTAAATTCAAACTCAGCGTTACACTGCACGTTCCAAAAACAACAACACATTTCTCATAGCATTTTTCGATTACATCTTTATTTTCGTTGTCCTTATTGAGAAGTACAAAAAGAACAAAATCTACTTCCATACCTGATGATGGTTGTAGAACAGATGAAAGTTTAAAAAATTAAAAAAAGACCTTATGCAACTGGAATTTATAAACAGGGGATCACTATCATTCATAAGGTTGGTTCGGGTTGATGCATCTTATATTGTTTATGGCGAAGTAAGTATTCTTGCCATTTAATTCATTAACCTGTATTTTGTTTTGTGTGAATGATTCATGAATTTATAAAATATATATAAGGAATATATATATATTAAGGAATCAATGCTGCATATTATGCTCCATTTCCAGTGGCAAAACAAATTCATGAGTAAGTTCTACTCTTAGTTTCTTAGCACAATACGTTAAATGCTAAACTGGCAACAATGACTTTATATATATATATATACATACATACACACACACAAAAAAAAATAGTAAGAATAAAAGCTAAAAGGTTAGAAAAATAAACTGATGGCTCAATGCCAAAGTCAACAAAGCCTAAATATCAATAACAAAAATCTGTTACACAGACTTTCATGTAACAACGTATATTGAGAATATATATAATAAATTCTTCCTTCCCCTTAGTGATAGGTTAATTAGTCAAAATTGTATCACTAAAACTATTATTACTTTTTTTTTAAAAATTGCATAGAAAATATTTAGATTTAGCATTAAATAACCCATTCAGGTGTTGATATGCCACTAAACAAAAAACAACCAAATCAATCCTGAATCCCCATAAACTACAATGCCTCTCTTATTCACTAACCCTCTACCTCGAGCGGCTCTTGAGCGTTGTAAGGGTTAAACACCACTGTAAACACGCAAAAAGGAAAACTTTAGGATATAAAAATAATTCACCTTATGAATAATAAAAAAAATGCCAGCATTTGTTTAAATACAGACTTCCCAAGAACAACATTCATAAAAAAAATCTTTTTTTTCTTTCATTTCACCCCAAGTAAAGTAATAATGTCACTTAAGATACAAGGTGTTACTATATTGAGGGTAAAAATCTATTAAGGAGAGAAGGACAATAAAAGAACATGAATTAAGAAGACAGAAGATAACAATTGGCATTGCACTTTAATTTTTGAAGGTCAAAGTTGACTGGGAAGCTGGCTGGCTGCTGATTCCAGCTAGAACAGAATTTGAAGTTTTCCCAGCATTCTCTGACGTCTTTGACGAGCGGTGTTTTTAAGTCAATCGCTGCCCTGTCTCTCGACAAAAGGTTGACTCATTTATTTCGTGCCCCTTATCCATAATGGGGTCAATTATCTTAACTACAAAACTTCCTAGTAAACTCCTTGGCTCATACGAATCTCTTCGTAATGGTTGCAACTTTCTGCGAACAACTTGTTTGAACTTTCCTCCATTTTCTGCCGAGCACGAAGGTTTCACATTTACTGCCGCCATCACACTTTTACAATGACCAATTCCCGATCTGATCTGAACAACTTGATAGGAACTTTCCTCCGTTCACTACCAGGAACGTGGAGTTTTCAGACACCGGAAGATGGATAAAAACTCACATACACCTTTTTGAACTCTAACCTTTAAGAACCAGTTTAAAAGAAAAAAATAACATTACACACACATGACAAAAATCTCGCATTGAGTATTTTCCTTGTTGTGTAGGCATATACCTTTTGCATAAGACTGTTCCAGAATTTTCCTTCTGGGGAACCTTTACCATTTGGCCATTTTGATTTTGTTTGTTTTACGCAGAACATTAACATTCTTTACTGACTACTTGTCACCAATTTTATACAACTTACCTACTTGCTCAGAACCTTTAGCTTTACTTTTCTGATAGTCTCCTCTATTTGAGACAAAAATACTTATTAAATAAAGTTTTATATTTGTTTTCCACCAGACTCGTTTTCATCGCTCCTCCTCACGCATTTATTATTTTCATTATTCTTTTTTTACTTTTGCTTGTGAATTAGGTAGTGCATTGAGGGTGTCTGGCACAAGGCTACCTTTTTCAGAGGGCCAGCAATGCATGCTACCGGGTCTGCTACAAGTTCAACAAGAAAGAAGTGCAATAGAAGAAACTGTTAGCATAGAACTTACGGTTACATCAAACCATTTCAAATGTTAAATGATGAGAACATAAAATTACATACAAAAATTTGTTCATTTTTCATAAAATCCTTGTTTTTGAAAAGAAAAATAGAGAAAATTTGGATATAAAATGAAGTTTTTGTTTAATATAAAAATATTAAATTCCGTCTGATACATATGTTTTAAAAATCTGCAAAAATTAAAATTACTGAATGCTTATAAAAATTTTCAGGGTTTGATTAAAAATATTTCTTTAGAAAATAAGCTGTTGAAATTTCATTCAAATTCTTATTGTTTTATTAATCTTAAGAGAAACTGATGTTCCAGTAGATTTTTTTTTTTTTATTTATTTACAAAACAAATTAAAATTTTACCAGGGATCAATAAATTTTAAATTTTACCAGGGATCAATAAATTTTAAATTTTACCAGGGATCAATAAATTTTAAATTTTACCAGGGATCAATAAATTTTAAATTTTACCAGGGATCAATAAATTTTAAATTTTACCAGGGATCAATAAATTTTAAATTTTACCAGGGATCAATAAATTTTAAATTATAAAATAAAAGTTAGTCATTGATAAACAAAGCAATATTATAATTTCTCTCTCAAACCACATTGAACATTTAGGATTGATGTAAAAAGAAAAAATATTTATGTAAAAATAGACTTTCTTGTCCTTTTTATGTAAAAATTGACAACCTTGATCTTTTTATGAAAATTGACGTTATTGACCATTTAACATCTCTAAATTGACATTATTGACCTTTTAACATCTAAATTGACATTTGTGATTATACTTGAAATGTTATTGAATCACAGTGTTTTAATAATCAAGTGAAATTGGAATTATAGGTGGAGATCGATGACAGTATAAATAAATTTTACATTTATGGAAGCCCTATAATGCAATTACCAGATCATTTATAGCTTATCAGTATGACTTTAAATTACTTTGGATAATTATCCATTAGTGACATTTAGGACAAGCTTACTATGTAATATAGAACCATTTTCAGGTACAAAATGTCCATGAAAAAAAATCCAATTTAATCACTTTCAGTTGATTTGTTTTTCTTCTTTTCCCACGAGTACAAAATTGCACTGGCTAAAAGAAATAGTAATCCTGCAAACATCATCCCTCCTGCAAAGAAGTACACCAAGCTGTAATTTTTGTAAGTATCTCTGATTTGACCTGCAAAAAATAAAATATTTTTTATCAGAAATCAATGCTTATAAATTATGATTTTCTATAGTGTTAATTAATTTTTATGAAATGCTGTTATTTGAAAAACATACATACATATATATATTACACACATATAAAACACTTATTGTTGGTTTCAATCAATTTATTAATGACTGCAAAAACATCCCACACTCTCCAAAATTACAGAAAAGTCACAGTAGATGCATGCTGGGATTTCTTTTTGATTGGCCACTTCTCAGTCTCTGACATATTTCTATCTTTTTTGTTTTAAAGTCAGAATTCTGCAATCACTTATAACCACATCTTGTTGAAACACCAGTTCTCATATGATCAAAGTTAAGCAATGTTTACCTTTATCAGTATGTAGATGAATGACAGCTTGAGAATACCAGGTGATGTAAGCTTGGATGTGTGGATGGTGTCATCAATAATGGCTCAGAATTTTTAATCAGAGAGTTGAGTTCCATATCTTTTGATGCTTGGAGTTTTGATTTTTTTTCCTGTTGATTCCAATCCAAGTAGTAATGACATGTCAAAACATACCCACTCCCCAACTATATAGCCAAATCACAGTAGATGCATGCTGGGATTTTTTCCTAGCCAGTAAGATAAACCACTTCTCGGTTTGATTTGCCATATCCTTGTTCTTTTTTGTCTTGAAGTCAGAACACTGTAATCACTTGTCTGTATCCCTTTTGTATGTTAACACCATTCTCAGTTTGTGAACATTTTTGTCTTGTTACAATTGCATGCTGGGATTTCTTCCTAGCCAGTAAGATAAACCACTTCTTGGTCTGATTTGCCATATCCTTGTTCTTTTTTGTCTTGAAGTCAGAACATTGTAATCACTTGTCTGTACCCCTTTTGTATGTTAACACCATTCTCAGTTTGTGAACATTTTTGCCTTGGTACAATTGCTTTGCCTACATTTGTCTGGCATATCTATTGTTTGCTTAGTAGTATTTTTGTCCTGTTCGTTTCTTTCTTTTCTGTCTATTGCAAACTTTGTCAATTCTGTTTGTTCGGGATTTCTGCCAATTACATTTAACCATGGCCAATTATTCTACACCTATTGATGTATCAAGGAGAGCAGAATTTTGTTATTATGAGAGTTCAGTAGATATCTAGAGCGATGATTATTATCAATAAATAAAAAATTCTCAATACTTATATATGAGCGACTAAAAGTTATCTGACCTTGATGCGAGTTAACATCACACAACTTTTAGTTGGGCATACATTATTGTAAACCTTTTCTTTATTCATACTGTGAATACACCTATCAACCCATGCACACCCCTATATATATATATATATATATATATATATATATATATATATATATATATATATTAGTAGGCCACTTGTATTTGAGGATACCCATCTATTAGGGGCAGCTACCCAATCACTACTACAGATGCTCACTCAAACACTTTGTGTTTGTTCAACACCCACAGAGCCAACCTGTTGTTTATACTGCAACTATGCTGAGCAGACCTTAGTTACAGTTTCTGGGAGAGAGAACAAGGCCAGCACAGACAACTCCTTGGTCACAATGACTTGTGACTTCTTGCTAGTATAGCTATCAACGGCCACCCAAGGGTACCATCTACCCAGTTTTACTCATAAGTCATGGGTCAACCTGTAGTATGGTTTTCAGGCACTTTCCAAAGGTGCTGTACACTGAGATCGCCTCCTCCAGAACGATAACATCAGGAAATCTACTTTCTGACAAATCAACTGTGGTGAGATTTGAGATAATCTTTAATATCTGTACATTTCTGTCTATATTTCTGAGATGAGGTAATTGTAATTATGTACACTATTTACATTGTTCAGACTGTTGTCATCATCTTCGTTGCCATATTCACAACGTTTCGCCATTGTACGCTCCGGCCTTCTTCATGGTTTATTGATGTTTCTGAGATGAGGTATTGTAATTATGTACATTATTTACATTGTTCAGACTGTTGTCTTTATCTTCATTGCCATACTCACAATGTTTCGGCACGTGGCCCAGTGAATAAAAGCATTGATTGAATCCAGTGACATAACCCAAAGAGTTGTGAGTTCAATACCTGTCTACAGCAGAGGTGAACAAAAACTCAGTTAACTTAAACAGAGATAACTGATACTGAGACATTCCCAAAGAGGCATGGCATATGGAACTAGAACAATCAACCCTAGATGAAATAAAGGTTTCAGTTATAAATTCCAATCACCTGAACAGTGTCAAAGCGTACAAAAGCTAAAACTTTGTGAATATAACAGATGAGGACAACAGTCCGAAAAATGTAAATAGTGTAAATAAATACATTCAAGTTGTTGCAATTTTATTTTCTGTCAGTGCATATTGGGTACAATAAAAAAAATCTTTGCTAGATTTGTTCATGTGTTAAATTTCCCAGTGTTCTTCAATTCCAATTTCTCGCCAGACATGATACACAATTTCTATCAAGATTTCCTTTCTTTGACAAAGATATTCTGCAATTTGCACTTTTAAGCAATATTTTGTATAATATTTTATTCTTAGGGGACTTACTCATTTTCTGTGAGTTTCTGGGACGAAGAGTTATCAATATTTCAGACTAATATCCTCATCTTTGTTGTTGTTATCACAACTTTTCAGCTACTGTGCACTATGTTAGAATAATAACAACAAAGATGAAGATATTAATCTCATATAGATTTACATCCTCATGGAAAAGACAAATGTTGATTTTGAATTAGATCCAAAGCAAATAATTTGGTCTAATTTATTCTTGTTTCAAACATGATCGCTTGACATTTATCAAGTAAAACTGTTATACATAATGACCAGATTTGTTTCTGGTTCATGTATATGAATATATATATAGCTAGATGGATATTAGATTATCAGTCATAAATATCCTCTCAAATACTATTTGATCAAAATGTAAGCATCACATAAAATTCTTTTTTTATTAAAACTTAGTACTATTAAGCTGTACATTCATATATAGATTTTCTTCTACTTGAAAAATGCATTATAACAAAATAGCTATAATGTAAACACAAGACAAAATGAAACAAGTTAAAACTGAAGTATAGGGTGAGTTGGAGATTTAAATGTGGAATTAACTCACTTTCCTTGTATAATACATCATTTCATAGTTTCTTTGTATAATATATTAAAAGAGAATAAGAGTCATCATTTTTTCATCCCTCCACAATCTCTGGCTAGATGGATAAATACGTTTGAACATATGGAGCATGTATTTCATTTTTATCTAAATAAAATTGCCAAGAAGTCCATCCCAAAATGAAGAGAGTACTGTTGAAGATATAAAAAATGTTTCAGTGTTGTTTAACGACAAGACAGTGCCTGACTTGTTTAGTTAACCTGTGGGTTACCCAACTTTGTTTCACCAAATGCTCGTTAGGTGGTGCTGTTTAAACTGTATGAAAAGACAAACATTTCCTTCCTCTGACTCTTGTTCCAAGGTGTAGCAGTATGTCAATAAAGGGACATGTTCATAAAAAGTCTCAGTGTTGTTTTCTCAACATAGCTGAAGGTAGCCACAGGTTTGATTTCTTTTTGAATAGGAGGGGGATGTTTATCTCCCTTAAAACATAAAACGTTAGAAAGGTGCAAAAAATTTATGAAATTCATCGGGAGTAGACAATGGTGTAGCTGAAAAAAATGAGGATTGTTTAATAAAAAAAAAAAAAAAAAAAAAATCAGTTTAGCAGGTGTTAAAAGCAGAGTCAACAGGTAAAGTGAAATAAATTCCTTTTCTACTCTTATGTTGCACTCACATATCCTAAGAAATTTATGACAGAAAATAAGAAAAACAACTTTCAAATATTCACAACAAAAGAAACTGTAAAAAAACAAAAAAAACAAAAAAAAACAAACAAAAAAAACAAACAAAAACAAAACAAACAAAAACAAAACAAACAAAAACAAAAAAAACGAATGTTTGCAAAAATGTGGTTATTAAGAATTTTAATAAAATTGTACGTCCACAAGACATATATATATATCATGCTTTGAATAAAAAAAAGCCAATTTTAAATCGTGGATATATGAAAGAATTTATACCTGCTAATGGTGGTCCAATGAGAATACCAATTCCTTGGAAACACAAAGTCCAACCAAAGGAACTGGCAAGTTTTTCAACTCCAAGAAGGTCGACTACAATAATGGATAATTGGGCAATTGTACCCCCAGATAAAGATCCATATGCAACACAGATAAGGGCAAATTCCCAAAATCTTTTAGCATATGAACAAGAAAACATCATGATTACCTGTAGACCAATTATTGTTGTAAAGATAAACCTGAAAAAGAGTATATAGATATATAAATATTCTAGGCATTGCATTGGCTTCAGTAAAATTTACATGTTTCTAAACTGTCGTACATTTACTATTTTATTGGATTCTAATCCAAATTTAAATCACATGCACTATATATATATATATATATATATATATATATATATATGGTGTGTGTGTGTGTGTGTGTATATGTGTGTGTGTGTGTGTGTGTGTGTGTATGATATAACAATATATAATTTTGCATAATTTGATATATCAACAAAGAGTATTTAGAAATAGGATTTCAGCTAGACTGAGAAAAAAAAAATATTCTTGAAAAAATTTTGAAATTACCTGTATCTCTCATTTTGTGTGCATGTGCAGACATGGCAATGTCAATAAAGTCCAGTCTGATGAAATCTTAATGGATGAAATACGCCTCAAAAAACCTTTCCAGTTTGTCATATATATATATATATATATATATATATATATATATATATATATATATATATATATATATATATATATATATGTGTGTGTGTATATATGCAAAAACAATATATAAACTTTTATATATCAAGAACAATACTAGGGCAAAAATGTATGACAACAATTTACTAAAATGAAAATGTTTAGAGAGTGCCTTGATTGCAAAGTCATCCACAGTAAATTTGTGCTAGGGCTCTTGCAACATTTTACCATTAAGTGGCAGATCTTTTGTTATCACAGTGTAGGATATCTAACAACAAAAGTGATGAATGAAAAACAAAATAAAAGAAAGAAGAATCTAAACGATATCAGCTAGATTATATACAAAAAAAAAAAAAAAATTCAATTTAAAATTCCCAGTAGCCCTCACTTGTGTTCACGTGTAGTTGCACCAACATAAAAATTTATTCTGATGAAGTCCTACAGGATGAAACATGTCATGTGAAAACTTTTTCCCCTTTGTCATACATTTTTTCCCCCCACTATTGTGGGAGTGAACATATGGTTCCATCTATAAAATAGAGTCAGGATGGTAAGTAAAAAACTGACTTTATATATAGACACACATAATAGAGGGAAACAAATATTGGTACACATACAAATTTTTAATTTATTGTATTTCCAACTAATGAATAAACATACTTTTCATATAATTAACTGTACACAGATGCATAATAACTAAATATGTATAGGAAACAGAAAAAAAAATTGATTTTAATAGAAATAAATCCTATTTATCCATTTTAATGTGAAAAAGTATTCCTACAATACAAAAAAAAAATATATAAAATCTTCATTTAATACTTTGTAGAATAGCCATTATTCATTTCTACAGCAACCGACTTCTTGTAGTTCTCAATGATTTGCAAATTTTAGTTGGTATCTTGTTCCATTCTTCTTTGCATCCAGTATGTTTGGTGGAGTTCTCGAATGGATTTGAATTTTCAAATAATGCCACAGATTCTCAATTGGGTTTAAATTTGGAGATTGACTTGGCCATTTCAGGAAATTTTCATCATTTTCAGCGGGCCGTTTCTTTATAGATTTTGCAGTGTGCTTAGAATCATTATCTTGTTGAAAGATCCAATCAGGAGGAAGTTTAAGATCATTAAATTTGCCTTCAAAGTATTTTGATATGCTCTGGCATTCATTCTACCATCTATTACTTATATGTTGGTAGTACCTCTAGCAAAAAAAAATATCCCCCCTTACAACCATGATGCTGCCGCCACCAAATTTCACTGTTGGAACTGTGTTCTTTTGTTTGAAGGCATCACCATCTTTTCTCTATACATGATTTCTAGAATTACATCCAAGCAAGTCAATTTTGGTTTTGTCTATCCATAATACTTTTCCTCAATACGAATTTTTCTTATCCTTATATTCACAAATGAATTTCAACCTGGCATCTCTGTGTCTTTTCAATAGCAGTGCAGTTTTTCCAGGGTAGTGTGACTTTAGATTGTTCCTATGAATTTCATTGTTTATTGTCTGTTTAGTCACACAGATTCCTGATGAAAGCAAATTATCCTGCAATTCTTGATGAGTAAACATAGGATTCTGTTTAATTTGATGCATTAATTTACTTGATGATTTGAAGAAATCATCTATGGAGCACCTGTTTTTTGGTTTTCAACAGTTTTGTATTTTTATACCTTGCAATGAATAAACTAGTGGTGGTAAATTCAGGTTGTTTGAGATTTTTCTGTAACTTAACTTCTTTCCAGAGCTTAACAATCAGTTCTTTTTGCGAATTTTTCAGTTCTTTACCTCTTGCCATGATGAAAACCTTCTTGCACAAATATCAATTGCAGAATGTTCTGTTTGTATATTTTAGGCTAAAAATAATTACTGATAATATTATTGGAACATTCTTGAATATTCCACTTGAATAATCTTGAGTATTAAAGTAATTTAAAAGTTTTAAAATCTGAAATTTGCATTGTACGAATACTTTTTTCACCCATTAAAATGGATAAATAGAATTTATTTCTATTAAATCAATTTTTCTGCTTTCTACGCATAGTTATTATGCATCTGTGTACAGTTAATTATATAAAAAGTATGTTTATTCATTAGTTAGAAATACAATAAATTAAAAATTTGTATATGTATATTTGTTCTCCCCCACTCTATATATAATATATATATATATACACACACACACAAATCATGTCTTATTAAATAAATATCAGCAAAATAAGGAAAAACCTGTAAAAACGAATATATTAACTTTGATTTTCACAAGAATTTGAAATCCCATTTTATTCTGTTAAGACAAAATTTTCAGTGTCAGATTATCTAATATTATTAACTATGATTAAACTTTTCAAAACTTACTTTAAAAGTAGACAAATTTAGAAATAAAGTTTAACTTCAGCTTGTGAATTATGTACACAACCATTCTCCACCATTTTTTACAGTATAAAAACTACTGATGAGTATTCTACAGCAGTAGCTAAGTATAAAAGGCCTGCTAAGAGTCCTAATACTAGCAGAACATCCAGATTTGTATGAAAGGTTCAAACAATTGTCGATAAAAACCCCAGAAATCCAATTAAATCTATTGCTAAGGAGCTCAAAGTTTCAAGACACTTTATCAAAAGAATTGTGAATAAGGACCTACAATACAAGTCATATGTGATGCAGAGATAATGTCTGCAAAGACAAAAGATAATTGTCTGATTTGTGCAAAGGGCTTGCTGAGCAAGATGAAACATCAAGAGCCTGGGATGCCGTTTTTTTCTCTGATAGTAAAAACTTTGACCAGAGCCAAAATGTCAATAGAAGGAGCATCAGATGTTGATGCAGAAACCCTAAAGATTTCCAACAGTCATGCACACAAAATTTCTAGCAACTGTTGATGGTTTTGGGGGTTGTGAGCAATGAGGGAGATGTCATGCCTCCTCACTTCTTTCCTCGGGGCTTTAGGGTCAATGTTACTGACTATAAGATGATGTTTTGGGGGGTTTGTGAGGCCTTAGAAGGGGGTTTGTGAGGCCTTAGAAGGAGGGTGTGAGCAAAGGAAGACAGGATATCCACCAACAAAATTGTACCATCTCATGAGGCCAAGACAAACCAAGAACGAACGAATTAGACTTTCCACAATCACATCACTCCAAACATATGGCCTCATAGTTCTCCAAAACCTGAAACTGTTGGACTACTATGTATGTACAGTAGTTGAGTGTGAAGTCAGTCAGTGTCTCCATAACACTATAAAATCTCTGAATTCCACAAGTGGAACAATGTCCAAAAGAAAGATAATCTGATTCAGACAAGTGAATGTATCCAATTTCATATTGAAGCAGTTATTGATGCTAACAGCAGATCCGTTAAGTAAATGTATCAAAAAGCATTGAGATTATTAATGCCAGTACTTTCTCAGATAAATCCCTTCCCTCATGATTTATGCGTCTTTTACTAAATTCATTCAAATATCTAAAGAACTGAGCAACTTGTATACATACCTACATCAGACATTTAAGTGCCATACGTCATACACATTTGGGCAATCATGTTTCTTTTGATTCATAACCATCTGGACAGATGATTTCCCCACAATATGTTGCTAAGCAAGGCTATAGAACCCAGTCCATCCTGCTATTCAACCCATAACTGGGGGTGAGAAGAAGAAATGGATTTATATTCCCCCCCCCCCCCAAGGGTATTTGTGTGTAAGTGAATGCTACAAACACAAATGAAATTCACATAGGTTTACTTTTTTCTATTTTACTTTAGATTTGTTTATCCATTTGATTTAATTTTTTAATGTAAATTGTAAAGTTCGTATTTATTTTATACTAAACATGATAAAATCATTGATGCTAGAATAAATATATATATATATATATATATATATATACACACACGATAAAATATATTTTTAAGGTATGCTATATTTATGGGTTAAGTTAAAGTGCTCAGTTACAAGGATAGAGTATATATATATATATATATAAATATAAAAGTGAACATTTAAGAAGGCTGCAATATATATATATATATATATATATATATATATATATATATATATATATATATATATATAAGGGCCCAAACAGTAATATTCCATGGTTTATAATTTATTACATTGGAATCGTAATCATGATTCAAATCATCAGACCTACAGTAGGTCTGATAATTTGGATTGTGATTACGATTCCAATGTAATAAATTTGTGCCTTTTATATTGTATTCTTACTCTGCCCTGGACATTGAGTTCTACCTGGATTCTATATTCTTGGGAATATATATATATATATATATATATATATATACACAAGCGATATCTTGTGGCAGATGAATTAGGTAACCAATGAAATTTGAGTCGCACATCAAATGTAGGCATATGAATGAGTATTTATTAACATATATTTCTTAGCTCTGTCTAATCACATTGAGCACTATTATGTCTACACCTCTTGGCTAAATTTGGTAATTATTTATTTGTTTATCAGCGTATGCATTCTTTTTAATATATACACTTTTCTCTTGTTGAAATAACTATAACCTCTTCCCTTTATATATATATATATATATATATATATATATATATTATATTTTTTTACAATCTGACTAAATTTGACAGATGAACTGTTTTATTGGCAGTATCTTCCTTATTGTACAGCTGAAATTTAAACTCTGGAAATGAAAGAGGCAATAAATTGAAATCAAGTAGAGACACACCTTCGATAAGGTTTGACCCATTTCAGATCAAGAAATAAACCCATGACAATCCGGCTTATGAGGTCTGAAATTCCAATGATGGATATCAATAATGCAGATTCCATCACTTTGATGCCTTTCTCAAGTGAAAGTGCTGGCAGGAAGACTGGAATTGTCCAATGGGATGAAGTGAACAGACAGTTGTTAAAACAAAAAAAGAGGAAATGCAAATTACGCAAAAGTTGGAAATCAAATCCAGTTTGAAGTCCAATAAAAATTTCTGATAAGAATGAGGAAAACTTTTGCCAGCAAGAGATGCCGTTTGTTTTTTGTTCATCCACATTGGTAGGTGATGTTGAACTGCTGTCAGATGTTTGTAGGGAATCAAAATTAACATCTTTATTTAAAGACTCACTCAATTCATTTGCCTCTTTTAAAAGAAATGCCTCCCTGAAAAAGAAAAGTAAAAACTAGAATACTGATAAAGGTAGAAAAAGCAATTAATATTTAACAGTATCAGCAATAGGTTTTATTCACTTTTTCAATAGAGCCATATGGAAAATTTCAAAAGTCCCTAAACATCTGTGACCAAAATTTCTCAGAGATTGTGTTGCATCATCTTTATTCAAGTCAAAGGAAAAAGTTATCAAAATAAGAACTGATTAATCATTTTGATGTTGAAGAGAAACATTTCATTTCTCTATTTTTTTCTAGACAGAAAATCAAAACAATAAAAATATTTAAATCATTTATTATTTTGCTTATTTGTCATATTTCATCCAGATGTGCACAAATTGCACTAAATTTTGGCAAATGACAAGTTAACCTATGAGATAGTGTGGTGCATGTGTAGCCAATGTTGTTTCTTGATTGTTAATTTTGGAGATACAATCTCCCAAATGACACACACACACACACATATATATATATATATATATTAGACTGTATGAAAACATTTATTCCAATGTGTTCCCTTCTGTCTGGAAATCCACAGTAGTAATATGGAGAAAAAAAGTAATGTTAAATTTTCAATTTTGAATTAGAGAACACTGTAAAATATTCTAAAAGCTACTGTAAGGAAAAAAACCCATGGAAGATGCTAAATGACTTAATTTTTTGGCATATTAAACTAAAGTGCATTAATGCTGTTTTTTTATATATATATATATATATATATATATAATTATTATGTATTTTTATTTTATTTTGCTAAATAGTAAGTTAACCACTCACTCATAATTTTTGAAAATTCTCATGGTCATGTATAAATATTTTGGATTGAGAATGAAAACAAAAAAAAAAAAACAAACAGGGTATAAGTTTATATTTTAGCAAGATTCAATAATTGCATTTTCAAAAACTTTTTGTCTAAGTTATTTTCTATTAATAAATACAGCATTTTTTAGACTGAAATTGTGTTTGCTATGAGAGTTGGGGGAATCATGACAAATTGTGCTTTCCCAGAAACTGTAACTAAGGTCTGCTCAGTATAGTTACAATATAAAATGTTTGATTCTTTAACACTCACAGTAAATGAATATCTGGCCATTGTTATGTATATTTCAATAAGCGGAAAGTAATTTTGCTATAACTAAAACATTTCAATTTATATTTGTCCATAAATAAAATAACTTTATTATTCTGTATATCAAATGAGTGAATTTAGATAATTTGGAAATTAATTATTTGGAAGGCATCTTTTTTATATTTTTATTTATTTATCCTGGATTTTGTTTTAATGGAAAGAAAGAATTTACTTAATCTTGGATATTTTCTTTTTCTTTACCCACATTTATAATTAATACCACCTTTCTATTTATATATTAAATTATATTAAATATCTTAATTTACAATTAACATTCCATTAAATTTCATTAACAATTTTTCATTAATTTCATGAAATTAATTTCATGTTAATGAAATTAACATCCCATTAAATTACATTAAATTTCTTCCTTTTATAATTTTCTCAGCTGATATGAAGTGAAAAGACTATATTGAATCTATTGTTAGGTCAGTTGTTTAGAAAGTTGGTTTACTGTGTCATGCAAGACAATTTTTCTCTGTATATTTATAAGTTTACCATTCCTCTCTGCTTAGAATATTGCTGTTGCATATGGTCCGGTGCTCCTGCTATTTACGTTGAGCTCCTTTATAAAACCCAAAGAAGAATCAGCAATATTATTGGTCCTGATTTGGCAGCTTGGCTTCAGTCACTTTCCCACCACCGTAACATTGCCTTCCTGTACCTTTTCTATAAATATTTTCATGGTAATTGTTCAAATGAGCTCTTCACTATGATACCTAGACTTTTTGAATTTAAATGCAGTCCTAGACTGGCATCAAAATCTCATCATCTTACAGCTGGGCTGTCTAGATTTAGCTGTAAATTCTATACTAACAGTTTCTTTTCTCATACTTCTTGCTTATGGAACACCCTTCTGGCTCTATGCCTTCCAGCCAACTTTAATCTACAAAGATTTAAATGCAATGTCAATTACTATCTGCTATCCACCAGATTCTCTTCCCATTTATTAGTAATGTTTCTGTTCCTAATTCTTCCACACTCAGTAACCCCTAGTGTCTTAGTGGCTTTTCTGCCATGCATGGGGTGAAAGCGATTAAAAAAAATAAATAATTTACAATAGGAATTAATAGGTTAATTTCCGAGTGTTGTTCTGCTTTCAGCAGCAAAGAATTATTATTTATTTCTGATTGCTAATGAGTGTAGAATGACAACTTAAAAGTGATGATAAAAGCAACAGAAATAAAGATGAAAGAAATACTAGTGAAAAATGTATAACTGGCAATGCTTCATCTTAGAAATTCAAATACTATTACATCTACCACTACTAGCCTAAGATGAAATATTGTGTAAATTTTTGATATGAAGTAGTCTTAGGATATAGTTGTTTATTCTAGTAAATAAACACAGATTTGTATTATTCTGTTTAGGTCTTTGGAATGGGAGAATTCACTCACTGAAATCTTTATTTTCTGATAAGTTTATTAATTGCATACAATATTGAATGGTGTGAGGGTGATTGATTTTGTTTCACCGTATATCAACCTCTATGGGTCATTTAATGCCAAAATCTAAATATTTTGAACAATTTTATGGCTTCAAGTAAATATATTTTGAACAGAATTGTATGCCTTCAATTCCAGATAAAATGTATTGTTGGTCATTTTTTTTATATATATAAAAATGTATTGCTAATATTTTTACTATAAAAAATGTATTTTTGTACTTTCACAGCATTTTGTTTTTATTTGAGGGTTCACTATTTACCCATAGCTGGGACCCCTAACAGGTGCTACCACCACGGGAACAACAGCAATTAAGAGGCGATTCCACACTCCCCAAAACAAAAGAATGGTTTGAGGGAAATTCTTTTAATTTCTGAGTTTTGTTTATATTTAGACTATTTTCCAAATCACAGCATTTCAGCCATTGTACCCTTCAGCCTTCTTCAGGTGTATATTGATCTGAATAACCTATGGTGGATTTGGAAATAAACCCTTTATTTAATCTATAGGTTTGGTTTGGTTTTTGTTTTACAGCACATCAACCTCAATGGGTTTATTTAATGCTGACAAAATTCTTATTGTTGGTAATATGTTTCTCTTCAAAAATCTATTTCTGGGAATATTTTTCCTTGAAGAAATCTATTGCTGGTCATATTTTTTTCAAAGAATGTATAACTGTTTGTATTGCTGGTAGTTTTTTAAAAGTATTGCTGATAATAATTTTTCCTTCAAAACTTATTGCTGGTGATAATTTTTTTTATTACAAAGTATTTCTGGTATTAAAACCTATTTTTACACAATTTTGTGTGTTAACTATTCCCATAGCTGGGACCCTAACAGGTGCTACCACCCAGGGTGAGGGTGGACCTGGGAATACCAGCAATTAAAAGGTGGTTCCACGCTCCTCAAAACCTCCTGATCAGAGGCCTTGCTGTTGGACGTAGTTTATCATCATACCCAGGAGGTTAATCTATAGGAATAAACTGTATTTGTTCCACTGCTGATGTCTTGAGATATTGTCTTATTGATTGAGTTCAATTCCTAGGTTGGGCATGAAAATAAGAACTATGTCATCCAATTCCAAAACCAATACTTTAATCCATTAGGCCATTGTCACAAAGAAACTATATATATTTTTTTAAATTGAATTTCAAATAATAAAGTTCATATTCTGAAAAATAGAAAAAAATGAATAGAATGTTCAAAAATTTTATTCATTCATTTAATGGTCTATTTCTTTATATTGAGCACTTTATTTACCAAATCTGCTCATGTTAAAAGGTTAACCTCCATTAATATTCTGATCAATATTTTTACTTTAAAACTCATTCTTTAGCATTATTATTGGTATTTTAAGACTTATTATTATATTAATTATTTTTAAATTTTCTTACTATAATAATATAAAAAAAGACAAAAACTTAATGTAAAAAATTAGATTTTTTAGTTTCATAAAAATATTTAAAACTGGCAAAAAATAAGTGACTATAAAATATCCCAAACATTTATTGTATGTTAAGTGAGTAAGCCAAATTGTTACCAATTTGACCAACTGTTAAAATCATTACTAATTTAAAATAAATTCATAAAAATTCTTACTTTTTTTGGAGTGGACGATACAACAAACCACAAACACACAGGTTTAAGGCTATGGCTCCTAAGATAATCATCGTACCAAAGAAAGAATAAGTTTTAAAAGACCATTCCATGAGGGGAGCATATATGAATGTCCCAATGCCAACACCCGCTGTTGTGAGACCAACTGCAATGCCACGTTTTTTATCAAAGTAATAACCAACCATAATGATGCTGGATGTATAGGATAAACTTTTAGCAAGTCCTGAAAAAAATTTTTAAAAAAACAAAAAGAAGGTTATGAACTGTTTACAAATTAGATTTTGCATTAGTACATTTTATTGTTTGTTAAATTTTTTTCAATGGATCAGCTCATAAAAGTTTCTTTTATGGCTTTTGAGCTTGTAGAAAATATATTTTTTTCCTCTTGTTATACTAAACTGATTTTTATATACCTATATTATAAGGAAAAAATATTTATCTGTGTATGTATATATATATATATATATATATATATATATATACACTAGCAGTATAACCAGTCTTTGACTGGGTCTTTCATTACTGGGAGTTCTAGCCAATCATTTGGAGCAGTTTAAGTTTAAATTCAGCCTACCCAAAAATCAATATTAATAACAACATTTGGGTGCAACTGAGGCACATCTCCAAATAGTGGGTGGGGATGTTAACAGTTTGAATGGAGGGTGGTTCTGAAAAGGAAACTGTATAATAATAAATAATATTATTGTAATAATTTAAACTATTTATGTTTATTAAAGTTTTTCTATGAGAGATATATATCCATGAACAGATAGTAAGTAGTAAGAGTTATAATGGATAGGAAGTAGTGGAGAACCATTGTCGCCAACAATTTGGACTCAAGACCAGCACTGAAGAATTATCAAACAAAAAGATTTTCATCGAAATCAGATGAAAACTATGGAAATGTATAAACAACATGCAATCACCTACACACATGCATATACACACATACACATTGAGAATTATATATATATATATATATATAATTTAGATTTTGTTATATTTATGAGAGAAGTTCTCAATATTGAAGATTGATATTATATATTGATATAAACTTAAATAAAAATCAACATTGCATGCCATCACTTTCATGATGTCTTAAAGAATTGTAAGTAAAACTGTTACTTCTGTTTGTGGGAGAATATATATATGATAAAATATAGTACTAAGTTATGCTATATTTATGGGTAAATGTGTTCAATATCATTTGCAAATCTAAAGTGGACATTAAGATCAACAAGAGCTGACAGTCTGTTCCATGCTTAATTATGAATTTTTCTTCTCTTTCTGGGTTGATATATTTAGTTTGCTAGAACAGAAAAATGACCAAACTTGAGCAGAACAGTGGAGTAATGATAAAATAAGTGGGCAATAACAAAGCTTAAACTCTGACTCAATATACCAGGTCCAAATGCAGCCCAGCACTAAAATACAACAGTAATTATTAATTTTTGACAAGTATTTATTTCATTCTAACCCTATCAAGGCACCTGTGGTATCATTCAAGATATGACTTTGGAAACTAAATGTAAACAAACATTGATTTCCTTAAACAGAAAAAATAAAAATAAAAAAACTTTTGTTGAACACAAATGCCTGTGTTTATCCATATGATAGCAAGAAACACTGCCATCTGGTGGACAGCTATGAAACTAAAGAAGACCAAGTAGTATCATTTTTGCAAATCAGTTTTTGTGTTCTCACTTTGTAGGGCTAATTTCAGTTGCTTTTTCATTGTGACTACATTGACCACCATTTTTTTTAGTTGTCAATAAAAAGTAAAGATCTGAAATAAACAATAAGCAGTGAGATGCGATGAGTTTCACCAGGGAATTCTTAGTTTCTAAGCTGCATTGATGATCTGAGTAGTTGTAATGAGAAGCAAGTGAAATTACAATGAAGAAAATAAAATACTACATAAATCTGGATTCATAATGTTTTATATCAATGTCATGTTCATATTACTGCAGCCACAATTAATGTTTTGTTCCCTATAATAATACATTGATGCAGTCATAGGTCAGCAGTCAGATTATAAAGTCATTGGGGAGTCCATGATCTTGGTAGGTCGGATGTTTTTGCATATGGGTTATTTAAGATCAAAATCTAAATATTTTGTACGCAATTTTTATTTTTTAGAGATAACTAGCAGCATGACCCGGCGTTGCCTGTACTTGATTAAAAAATCATACAACTCATACATCAATCGCTATCACTTGACTTAAAATATTTTTGCCCTTCCTTGCCTTTAAAGGAGTGCCCTTTGCCATGCTGATGTTGCTACATGCCTTACTTCTTGCCTATCTCACACTGCGAATTTTTTCTAAAATCTATACTAAACATTAAATCTGTTACAAAAAAAAAAAGAACTAAACAAAATATATGAATTTTGATATAATAACTTTAAAAAATCTATGACAAAATGGAAAAATGTTTTTGTATGACGTGTTTTGTCCTTTAGGACTTCACTGGACAAAGAAAAAAAAAATCATAAAATTAAAACTTCACCATCCTTCATGTGCATATGTAATCATAATGTAAAAAACATTTTAGTCTGATGAAGTCCTAAAGGTCGAAAAGCATCACACAAAAGTTTTTTTTTCACTTTGTTATAGATGTTCTTAAAATTAATTATCTCTCTCTCTCTCTCTATATATATATATATAGATATATACGCACACATTAGAGTGAATAAAAGTTTTGATGGATTTGTTCTCTAAACTTGACCTTTGGTATCATGTGCAAAATAGATGGTTCACTAGGAGGCTAACAATACAATGTCTTCAAAGTTTGTTTTTGTAGAACTTATATATAATATGATCTTTGGTAAAGAAAAAAGTCATTTATTTGATTTGCCTTCTTAAAATAGGTCAAATGCAAAGTAAGTTGTAAACAAAAGAGAAAAACAGAATGAATAAGTTTAAAAAAACAAAAACTAAAAGAATTTGTAATGCTAGACTTACTAGTAAGATATTTTTAGTAGTAAAACCTTGCAATATTTTAAGTGGAAAGCCATTTGCTTCAAGCTATTTCATAATGGAGTCAAAAGTGGGTTTAACATTTTGTCACAAGATATCAAAAGAACTGACCCTTCCAATATGATAAATGCTTACGAACGTTTGTCATTAGAGATATCTGACATCGAAAGGAAATGTCACCTTCTAGAATTCTGTCATTATCATTTTAATGTGTGTATAGTGTAGTGGTTAATGGTGAAGAAAGTGGAATTGGCAGGCCGAGTAAAAGTTCAACCTGAGATAATAGCATTCACTTTCACACAAATTTCCCCAGGAGTGGTATAAATCGATCTATTTTTCCCCAGCTAGAGGTTAATAAAAAGGCAGATTGGGCTATCTAGTTCTGGTTGGCAACCTAACTAAGAGAAGGACAACCTTGAAGTGAAAACCTATTGTGCATGGGGCTAGCCACTCAACCTCATAAGAACTTACTTTCTACAGAAACCACAGCAGTAACACTTAGCGTGGTGAGGCTGTGGCCCTATACACAACAGAGGAGGAGTCTACAGAACTATATATATATATATATATATATATATATTGTAGCAAAGAAAATGGTGACATACCTTATCAAACCAAACAACAGAGTGTCACATGTATTCTATTTTGGAAAAGAAAGCATGCATGCTTATGACTTGTTTATATAGAACATTATGCAAATTTTTGGTCACACCTCAACCAATTACTAACTTCAAAGCCTAGATATAAACAGGTGCTGCATGTGACCAGCAAATTGTTTCTACAAATCATTACATGCTGTGAAGGAGAATTTCTTGAGACAGGCAGCTGCTGTATCGAATTTTATCCCCATGAAATTCTACTATATATATATATATATATATATATATATATATATATAAATACAAATGTCGAAGAGTCAGATTTTTTCAACTTTACTCCTAGAGGCTATAACTCAACATATCAGACCATTTTGGAATCAGGCTTACTACATGAGCAAATGAAAAACATTCAGGGCCAGATTTGAGCCCACAATCCTGAAATTTGGGATTCCCAATTTTTCATTAATGCAATAGTTTTCTGTGATTTTTTTCTATGTTCTTTGTTGAGACAAATTTTTTTGTAAGATAATTTTTATAACTTGGAAATAAATTTGGGAATAATCAAAATTAATTGCAAAATCCAGCAAAAGTTACCCATGAAATAAAAATAATTGTTTGTACGGAAATTAAGGACCTACATACATCAAAATGACTTTAAATTAAGTGGTGGCAGAAGAATTATCATTGAACTTTTAAAAGGTGAGCTTAAATATTAATGCAATACTTAAATGCAGCGATCAATTGTAAGTTCTTCTGTGATTTATTGTTGTCTATAGCTCTACTACTCCCTAACTATTGTGATGAAAGCCCAATCAACAGTCCACCACAGCAGCTAGCTTAGATAGAATGGCTTTTAAGCTAGTATATATTCAACTCTCCGAGGGACTGACAGTCCAACACCAGCACATGTGATTTGATTATAGTGGTGAAGGTTTTGTGCAGAACCATCCACACTTTTTGAAGGGCTGAATACAGAGACCTGGTGTACTATGTGCCACAAGGTCCCCAAACAACCCTCTACAGGTTTTGAATTCAGAGTTGTCCATCCAAGCAGCAATTTATATTATATATATATATTTCACACATGTGCATTCTTTGTTTCTGATTTTGTTGACCACACCATATAGTAGGGACAGTTGGGCACCATCTGTGAAAAAAAGAGCACCATGATACATTTCACTGCCAGAAATTTGAAAACGGCATGCTGTATTGCGTGGCTTTCATACTGGAAGCTCCAATGTGAACATTTCAGAGAGTTTGAGCATCGGATGACAGTGCAGAGGATTCAGAAAGGGTTGGACGAGTTTAATGGTGATGACGAAGGTGTTTGAAGTGATCACTAATGATGTCAACATTATGCTTCCATTCATTTTTCCCCATAGGGCCTCAAACTCAACACAGAGGCCTACATCAAGTGCCTTGAGGAGGTAGTGTTTCCATGGGTCAAGAGAGTGGCTGCTGGAAGACCCACACAGGATCTGCCAGTAGCCACTCTGCACCAGGCCACATGAGCAGGAGAACCCAGTCATGGCTCTCAGACAATTTCTGCAAACACATCATCCCCTTACATATGGCCACCTAACTCCACAAACTGCAACCCCTGGGGCACAGTTGAGAGAGAGATCAACAAAACACTTTGTAACACC